TAACTTGGCCGGAAGAGCAGTCGATGCCATCAAAAAGAAAAAAATGAGTTTAGAATACTCATAGCTCGGCCGATGAATAACTTGGCTATATTAACATGGCATTTCCATAAGAAAAAAATTGAGTATGCAATACTCACGGTCTAGCCAACGTGTAACTTATCTAGATGAACATGACGATTTCATTAAAAAAAAAACTAATTATGAAATAATCATAGCCTAATCAGCATGGAATTTGGCTAGATAAATATGGCATTGCGATCAAAAAGAAAAAAAAATGAGTATGCAATACTCACGATCCGGCCAAAGCATAGCTAGACCAAATGAATCATGTCATTGCCATTAGAAAAAAGCTCGAGTATGAAATATTCATAGCCTAGTTAGCACGCTGACTTAACTATATGAATCATGACATTGTCATAAGAAAAAAAACATGGCCAAATGAATCATGTCGTTGCCATAAGACAAAGCCGAGTATAAAATACTCGTAGCTTGGCTAGTGCACGACTTGATCGGATGAATCATGGTATTTTCATAAGAAAAAATTAAACATAAAAAGCTTATAGCACTGATCAATGTGTAGCTTATTTGCACATATTTTTTTTAAGTGCCAAGTACATACATTTTATTTTTTAACCATAAAGATTAGATGATATTTAACCATGAGATAAAACCAATCTTCAATGAAACTTATTCTTTTTTTATTATTATTAAGAAGAAATACTCAAGAATTACAAGATTAGTAGATAAGTTTATTACTAAAAATTAAGAGTCTTAGCTAAGAATATACAATTGAGGTATCAATCTCATCTACTTCTTCCACATGACATATGGTGTGGTCGGAAGTAACCTAGTAAACATGTAAGTCGAACTTGTCTTCCCTTAACTCAACTGGGTCGAAGAAATGACATTCATTTTGTTGTTGTTGTGATTTTAGTGTTGTGGTATAGGGTTTTCTTTAACACCATTTTCATTATCAAAAACCATCTCCTTCTTCTTTAGCTTGTCATGAAACAAAAACCTCATATTGAGATAATGTTTTGTTAAATGCCCCACATATCTATGGTACCGATAATACTTGAGATTTTTTTTTTAATCTTTTTGAGATGAGATCTCTAAACTCGCTTAATGTATTCCATCAAATCATCTCTAGAGCTTTGACATTCTCTTTTTAAGCTAGACATGGTCACCCTTTCATTGATGGGGAGAAACTTTTTAGTCAATGGTTTGCACATGTTCACCTAAGTCCGAACGGAACCAAGAGTTAGGTTTACATACCATGTGTAGGCCTTCTCGATCGGGGACATAGAAAATTCTTTCAACTTCATATCATCATCTAAGCCATAAACACCTAAGGTCTCTACAAACTTCATAAGATGCTCATAGTCATCTTCTTGTTTTCTATTGAAAACTTTAAACTTGGGACTCAAATAGTCCTTTAGGTAAGGTCTCACCATAATGTCAATTAGGTAGGGAAGTTTGAGATCAAACTCCCTAGTAAGTTTTACCTTTTTTTTCTAAGTTCTCCTTGGTAAGATAATAGTGTTGACCATTAGAAACGATTCTGAGAATAAGATGGTTAGTGGTCGTGTATTGCTACATGATTGTTGTTTGATAAACAAATGTCTTCTATATCATCTCGGTTAAACAAAAAGCATGAGAGGATCATCAATATTTATAGTTAGTGGTGTTATAGCTTGAGGGACAACAATCTAGGAGGTTCCACCTATAGACAATAGTTATATGATGTTACTAAGGATTTGGATAAATATAATATTATTGTCTTAAAAGACTTTAAATATATGTTGTTGTTCCTGTTATATTTTGAACTCAACAACTTGAAAAACTTTCAAGACCTCGATCGTGGACTCGAAGAGTTGAATGTTAAACAATCATGGTGGGGGCTCGAGCAACGGGTCGGGTTATACCACTTTTTGGTAGTGGTGCCAAGCTACCATTATCGATTTGAGGGGTGTTAACATTCTCAATGTTAAGCAGTACTCGTCTACATTGTGATTAAGATCATGTAAGGTATTACCATTGTTATAGGTAGTTGAGCTACTAGCAAGATTGGTTCTTCTTGGTTGTCTTAAAAGGGACCATTGTTTTTTATAATCACTAACTTGCCAGACAAAGTTGCCAAAATATAGAGAGGGTTTTTAAGAACCGATCGGATGATTGGTTGGCAAGTCAATCAAAATGCAGAGAGCTAGTATTATGATTTATAGAAGCAACGGTCAACCAACCAAAATAGAAAGAATGCAAATAGTTAGAGGCATGAGAGGAGAAACAAGCAATGCTAATAAAGCACAAACTATGTGGCTAACGAGTGATTAGTCAAGATCCAAATAGGTGGAGTTTTAGGTGGAGTTTTAGGTGTTGTCCGGTGTATGAGTGAAAGAGCTTTGAGATGAAAAGTTCATATGTTTCTTTTGGAAAGTTCTGAAATTACAAGTTTTTTTAGGCAAAATTTTTTACTCCTCTCACAATGATGTGAGGCGGGTATTTATAGTGAAAAAAGATGGCATTTGATCGTTATGATCGTGCAACGTCATTCAAATTTAGATAGTCAAATTTAGCTTGAAAGATTTAGGTTTTTTAAACTTAATTGCTTCAACTTCCTAGCAAAACCTAAAAGAAGTAATAATTAGGTCTTTTTCTACCGAACTCGATCCGAGTCTACCAAGTCAATCTCCCTAATGCATCTAAAAAATAAGGCATGGACACTAGTCCTATCAAAACATCCATATCTATCCTTCCAACTCGTGACCTAGCACTAAGTGAGGTTTATCTTCAATCCAATCTATTGGTAATTTAGTTTAAGCTAATGTCAAAAAAAAAAAAAAAAAACATGAATTAAATATAATAATAAAATTAGTTAAGTTATTTAATTAATTTATCGTGCACAAATTGAACCTATATAAAAGTTATACTTGATGAGAAGAAAGAAAAGTTTGTGGTAAGATATAGGATGTTGTTCGTTGCCATTTTTTATGGTTGATCGGAGTATGTTCAAAGTTGCAACCCAAACTCGGAATCGGGTGGAGTTTTCATTTTCCCCACACTCGCCTCTTTTTGTTTTTCAAAACCTTCCTTTTCTCTTTGTAATCATTTAGAAAAAGACTTCGTAGAAGTGCTAGTTCCAAGACTCAAATCTTTCTCTTGTTTCAAACCGAGCTTACTTTTACCCCTCCAAAAAAAAAAATCCACCCCTCTTTTTTTATGGGCTCATCTTATATGGCCTGAGAAGACCCTAACACTCTATTCCTATGGCCAAATATAAGCTTTGGATCCTTCAAAATCAATTCTAATCCTCCAACCGTATACCAATTGTCTTCTAGCAAGTTCGAAATTGAGAATAGTAAGTTTTTGGGTCGTTTGACGATAAATTTTTATCTTACTTTGTAGCATAGTGATAGAAAAAGGAGCATATAGTATTGTCTAGGGCGGAAGCGAGGGAGAAAAATAAAAAAAGAGAGAGAGAACTTATTGTTTTCGCAATAAAAAAAAATCGAAAAGAGAAAAGAGAGATACGATGATGAGGAAAAGAAGATAATAAACAATATAAAACAAGAGTGAAACAATGTTATTTCACCCTTGATCTTTTTCTCTCTCTCTCTCTCTCTCTCTTTTAAACTGCCTTCATGAAACGACATCGTTGCACTTATTGGTTTTTTTTGTTTTTTACGTCATTTCTAGTTTGGTCTTTGATTATCTTTTTTTCTTTGTTTCCTTTGTTTATTTCAGTTTTCTTTCTTGCCAATTCCTCTCAATTATGTCACTGATTCTTTCTTTCTTTCTGTTCTTTGTGTTCTTTATGTTTTTTTTTTTAATCATAGCTTGCCCATAAGCAAAGAAAAATGTCAACCTACTTTAAAACCACAAAAAATCATAAAATAACTAAAAATTATGAAAAAAAAAATGCAACGTGCATTGTTTTGAAAAATCTTTAAATATTTGGATTAAAAAGAAATTATAAACTTTTGAGAGTTAAACATAAATTATGACATTGTGAATCAAGGTTTGTAGCCTAGTATTATACTTAAACTTGGCAATGTTTTATTAAAACACGGATTGCATGGAACTCATGATCCTTCCTTTAATGTAAAAATCCTTGAACTCATTAAAACATTTTTATCACCGCCACTCAATCGCATACCTTCAGGATCAATTGGAGTTTTTTTTAAAAAAAATAAAAAATAAAAACTTTGGAATCAATTTGAGGGGAAAAAATAAAGAGTCCTTTGTTTTTCTTTAAATATAAAATGGAGATGGATCATTTCCATTCACCTCAAAATACTAACATAAGGCTACCTCAGCATGATGGGCCAAGAATCTCTTGCAAGACCGAGGTCCTCGCGTAAGGTTAATAAAAAATCAAACTATATCATAATTAACCGAGTTTAAAGCTTTATGCTGTTTGGTTCAGGTTTACATGAAAAAGAAATTTTAGTAAATACATTTTTTTTAAGTGTGCATTTTTTCAGGTTCCATGGATAAAGAATTTAGTCACCATAAGTAGAAACTAATTCAAGAATATCATAATCATTCCAAACAGTGAAAAAAAAATTAATTGGTATAATAACCTTGACTCTATTATGCGATCGTCCTGAAGCTGATAGAATCCTGGGGCTCTTCCAAGCTGGTTTGTTGGTTTCTCAAATTCGAGCTAAGATGTTCCTAAATTTAATTTCCAAAAAATTAAAGCAACTACTCTACTGATTACCTCTCTAACATCTTAAATTAAATTAATGCCATAAACAATCCACAAACAAAATAAAACCATAAATAAATATATCAAAGTAATAGAATTAAACTTCAAACTTGTTTGTTACCTTTAAAGTAACGATAATATCCAAATGAAAACAAACAAAATTATCCGCAACTTCTTGTTTCATTTTCTGCCTTGATTATTTACAGAAAATCAAAATAAAAAGGAAACAAAACATTCAATTACCGAGTCAAAGATCCGAATCAGAAGCAATCCAATTCGGGTTCTACGCTCAGGGACCAACCTTGCTGCGATAAAGCTTGCCAAAGACATGGAGAGCAGTGACGAAGCCAATGAAGCAGAGACTCATCACGAGAACAATAGTGGGCGAGATCTTCAAGCCCGGTGCATCATCGGTGTAGAATCGAAGCATGTTGCTTCCAGGGCCTCCGATCCCGCTACTACCACCACCGCCGGAGGACGCGGAGGATACGACGCGGCGGCGGCGCATCCCAGCAGTGGCGGCAGCGGAACCGCGAGGAGCCATGACTCCAGGACGGGAAGTGGAGGAAGAGGACGAGGTGGTTTGGGATTGAGAAGCACCTCTTGCCATCGTTGAAGAGAATTGAATAAGGGATCTGTGAGGAAGGTTGTTTTTTTCCTTTTGGGTGGATTTATCTAGACTGGACGGCTGGATGTGGGAAGTTCGCGCGGTTAAGATGGTTTTACAGTTTTAGCATTACTTGCTTCACCTTGACTTTCAATTTTGGTTGTGCTGTGCATGTTACAAAAGTTAAATGGACAAATTTATTAATGAAGGATTGAATTATTATTGTTAGGTCTTGAAAGTGTTTTTGTTTTTTTCAGGAAAAAAAAGTATTTTTAATTTGAATTTGCACTTTTTTACCGTCTTATTATAAATATATTATTTTAAATAAATATTTTTCTCAATAATATTATATATCTAATATGAATTTTTTCTTCTTTTATTTTCTATTCTTGTCTCATTTTTTTAAGATTAAAATTAGGAAAATAATTTTTTTAAAGAAGAAAATAAAAAGAATTCTTACAATAATTTTTTTTTTTTAAAAGCTATATCTATTTAAATTCACTTAAGTCTTACCTTATTCGTTTATCCATTTAAATTGTTCAACAAATTTTTATCATATTTAGGAAACAAAATATAAGGGTTTAATTGAGAAAAATATTAAGTCAGGGTTTAAATTGTATTTACTATAAAACATAATGAGCAAAAAAATTTCAATCAAGAACTTTTTTGTATGAAAAATAAAACATAAAGATCAAAATAAACTTTTCAAAACTTTTAACCACCAAAATATACATCAATAAGAATTTTATGTTGTGGAAACATGACACTCGAAAATTTTTAACCGTATTAATAACATCACTCGATGAAACGTATTGATGACAAAAATATAATGTCTCATTTTTTATAGATTAAAACTAATTGGATATCAAGTACTACGTTGCAGTCGGGTAAGTATTATATACATAAAAGTCAACGATTCATATGATATACTATGAATAAAAATCTTATTTCTCGTAATTAATATAAATCAAATCTATGTGTTGAGCAAAATCATTTGATTTATATATATTTATTAACAAAATAATCAATAATATTAGTATAAAAAATTATATTTGAATAATTGAAAGGTTTTGCTAAAATATTATTTCAATTATTTTATTTAAAAATATTAATTTTAGAACATAAAAAGAAATAAATAATAAATAATTGATGTTATATATGCAAATACATAATTAATTTTCAGTATATATATATATATTCAGTAGATTCAGAATATATAGTATAAACAAATTTTTTTGTAAAAAAAAAACCATCTAAGCTATATGAAATATATTAAAATCAATAAATTGAAATAAAAACTATTATAAAATTGGTTTCCACAAATTCTTAATTTATGATGAAAGAGATTCTTAAATTGCAAATTAAATTATAAATTAGTTCATCTCATTTTAAGAAGTTAATTAATTAATTCTTTTGGTTTCAAAAATAATTTTTTTAATTTTTTAATCAATATTGATCACGAATAATTTATTTTTTATTTTACAAAATTTATTCTTTCATATTTTACTTTTTTTTCTAAGATTATTTTTTTTAGTCTTCCAATTTACCATTTTCTAAATTCTACATGGTGGTCCTAAAAAAGTAAAAAGAAATGAGGTATCTATTTATCACTTTTATGAATCATTGAAATTTATTTGCACCTCTCTCTTTCCAATTCCTTATCTCAAAAACCATCTCTACCTCCCTCTATGTATTTATTTTTATTTTTTTCCTTTCTTTTTTCATCCGTGTTAATCTATACAATTACCCGAAAATAAATAAGGATCACTAAAACAACCTAGTATAGGATTTCATGGTCTCTTTATACAATACTAAGATACTTTTGATTGGATGAGATATTTTTCTTCAAAAAAATAAAATGTCTTTTTTTCATATTTTACTTATTTTTTTTTCTATTTCTTAAAACAAAAAATAAAAATGGTAAAATGGTAAAAAGGACAAAAAAAATTAGTTTTCAAACCAAATGGACTAATTAATTTATATCTCAAAGAATTATTTTTTTTCTATTTCTTAAAAAAAAAAATAGTAAAACGATAAAGGGACTAATTAATTTATTGCTCAAAGAAAGAAGGACCAAGAGGCAACAAAGAAATGCATAAGTAAAGACTTTAGGTGAGGAGCTACATTAAGTGGATAGTCTCACCTTTACTTCTTTTAGTTTTTTTTTATAATTAGGAAAATAATTTTTTTTAAAGAAGAAAATAAAAAGAATTCTTATGATAATTTTTTTTATTTTTTTAAAAGCTATATCTATTTAAATTCACTTAAGTCTTACCTTATTCATCTATCCATTTAAATTGTTCAACTAATTTTTATCATATTTACGAAACAAAATGTAAGGGTTTAATTGAAAAATATTAAGACAATTGTATTTACTATAAAATATAATGACCAAAAAAATTTCAATCAAGAATTTTTAATATGAAAAATAAAACATAAAGATCAAAATAAACTTTTCAAAACTTTTAGCCACCAAAATATACATCAATAAGAATTTTATGTTGTGGAAATATGACCCACAAAAATTTTTAACGGTATTAATAACATCGACCGATGAAATGTATTGATGACAAAATATAATGTAATGTCCATATTAACACAAAAAATATTTCATCTTTTCCACAGTGATAGCGTCATTTGACTTTTCACATAATTTAAAAAACTTATTTTTATTAATATTTTTTAAAAAAATTATTTAAAAAAAAATATCTAATTTAATTATGCATTATAAAATGTGAGTATTTAAAAAAAATACAATATTAAAAATTTTGATTAGATAAATATTTTAAAACAAATATAAATAAAAAAAATAAAACAACCTTTTTAAAAGAGGGAAAATAATAAAAAGATCTTTCAAACATGGAAAGAATAAAGAAATATACAAAAACATGAACTCTTTTTTCTAATTGATGGTGTGGTGTGGGGTGTGTGTGTCTATACATACATACATACATACATACATACATACATACATACATACATACATACATATATATATATATATATATATATATATATATATATATATATATATATATATATATATATATATATATATATATATATATGAGTTAATGCCAAAATGGCATGCTTTGTCACTGTACTCTTGTTTTTTTTTTTCCTGTACAATTTTTTTATGAATTCTATTCTTTTGTTTATGCTTTTATTAACTCTGTTAGTTTGTGCAATCGATAATAAGTTAACATGTAAAAATTAAGAAAAGAGAGAAAAACTATACAAAAAAAAATCCCAAACCCAAACTCGAAATACCCTGACCAAATAGAATCCAAGTCATATAAATAGAAGAGAAAAACCCCAAACTGATTAAATACTAATTCATTAAATTTTTCATCTCGCCCTCTTCTCCGCTGATTTCTCCCCATTTGAAACATATCTCTTGATCATCTTGTTTGTTGAGAGCTATAGGTATAATTGTCATTGTCATTGTTCAAAACTCAAACAATGTCTTTATTGTCATTTTCGTCTCTTTACAGTCAAATCGAGGGCTTCTTCTACTTGAAATTCCATCCATGCTACCATTTCATAACGTCCATCATGGATTATAATGGGCTACCAATGGTTTGTTGTTGTGGGAAAAATATCCACACAATGGCTACATGGAGTGATAAACATCCTAGGATCAAATTCCATAATTATCCAATTACCGATAATTACAAAACGAAAATGAGAAATGAAGAAAAAATTGGCTACAATTTTCATGTCTTTTGTGAACCGAATTTTGAGTCTAGATCAAAGGAATTAATTATGGGCATGAGATATAGACAAACATTAGGTTTTTTATCCATGTGGTATTGCGAATTGGACAAAATACATTAAATTATTTTTAAAAAATAATTTTAATTTGATGTCTTATGTTATACTCGTGTCTATTAAAATATATAAAATCAAAATTGAATAAAAATTCATTAAATTTTATAATTTTTTAATCAAAATTTTGTATTTGACTAATTATTCTTTATATTTTCATAATTTTTTATTATAAAATATTATTTATATATTTCTATTACATTTTCAGCTAAAAACTTATTTTGTAATAGTGTTTGAAATAGTGTCAATGAATAGTAAATTAACATTTTAGTTTAGTTTTTTTTTTTTGTTAATAGTGGTATGAGAAACAAAAATAAAATATTATAATATATATGGACTATCTTAATGCTGAAAATAGAAACTTATATGTGAAAATTCAAAATTTAAGTTCAAAGAAAGGTCATTTGCTGAATGAAATGGTAGAATTTGTCACAACCTCCTTTTGACCTTAAAATTTTGTAATAAAAAAATTAAGAGAAAGCTACAAATTTAATATCGAACTTTTGATTTTGGTTCTGTTTTGACACCCAACCTTTTATTTGTTTGATTGGATACCTAACATTTGATTTTTTTTTCTTTTTTGGTACATGATATTGCCTAAGATACAATTCGCCGATGTGTTCGGTAAGAGAAGCCACACGGCATTTCGTCGTCGCCATGTGACATTCGTAAGACTTACACATTGGAAAAAAAATTTAGTTCAAAACCCTCTTATCATTGCATTATTTTGGAATTTCAATTGGGAAAACAAACATCGGTTAAGCAAATCTATTCAAAGGAAATGAGGAGAGAAAGAGAGATTGTTCGAATTTTCATCAAGAAGAGAGAGAAAGAAGAGGAAAAACCCTAAATTAGTTAGGAAAAATTTGCATCCTTGGTGAGATTAGATCGATCAAAAGGACAAAAATGAGTAGGGAGCTAGGGAAAAAAGTGAAATCGAGAAGGATGGAAGCAAAAAAAAAAGGTATTAGTCCGGAGAAACGAGGTTAGTTTTGTTGACAAAACAAATCTTAAATCTTGTTTTTTTTTTTTTTTTGGTTTTTTTAATTCTTTTGATAATAATGTTGGGTAAATTTTTTTTAAGTGTTAGTGGTAGGATTGTGTGGGGTATTGTGTATTCTATGTAGGTAGTATGGTGAGGGTTAGTCAATTATTCAATATTTGTTTATGTTTCT